TTTTTCGCTCGTGTTCGGCTCGAAATGACTCGAAAAAAAATTATATATCTTTTTATATAACAATATATTACATATATTATTTAAATAATAATATATTATATATATTTATGTCTAAGTTTAAATCATAACACCTCATGTGGCAATGTGGTTAGTGTCTTCTTTTGTATATATTTAATCTAGGTTCGAATCCCACACTTTACATCTATTTTTCTCAATTTTAGTTTAACGAGCCAATTTCGAGTCGAACACGAGCCGAACACGAACACGAATATTTAAATCGAGCCGAACACGAACATACTGTTCACGAGCCAATTTCGAACACGAGCCGATTTCGAACACGAGCTATTTCGAACGAGCCAAGCCTGAGCTCGCTCAAGCTCGGCTCGTTTACAACCCTAGTGGGAAGGCAAGAAGAATCCATAAAAAACCCTTACGAGAATAGACGGGCGAAGCAGTCATTGGATCGAGATAGTTCATGATCCACTTCTTCACGTGTGGGATTGCAATCCTTCTCGCCCCCTTGTTCTCGCGATGCCTTTTGGCCCAAGCGAGAGTTCCCGTGAAGTAAAGCCGGGGTTTGTGTTTTTCAGATGATAAATCCTACATTGCCTAACATGTCGATCTACATCTCTCGTCAGCTTTGGCAAAAAAAAAAAAAAAAAAAAAAAAAAAAAAAAAAAAAAAAACCTCTTACGGGGGCGAGGGTCTTGTCCCTACCAAAATGACATACTAGTCCTCCGCTGTGGCCTTCCTGGATAATGACCTCCCATAGTGAACACCGCGGAATGCATAATTGACTTTGGTAGAACAGGTATCCATCTGTGCAATAATATTGCCCTGCTAACTTCATCTGACATTTTTCCCATATGTTTTTGAAATCTTCGTATGTTTCATATAGATCTCATATGACCTCGAAGCCTACAACTCAAGCCTGCATGGATGTGATCAATAGGTGTCAACGATTCGGTGCATCTGCTACACAATTCTGGTTTCCAGCTTTGTGTTTAAGTATAAACTAGAATGAGGCTAGAAATTCCACCTAGGTTGCTTGTCGTCCATTTAGTTTGCTTTGGCTATTCAGAAATTTTAGATCCTTGTGCTCCGTAAATAGTGTAAAATCTTTTGTCAATAGATAATGACTCTAGTGTTTCAGAGCTCTTACGATGGTGTAGAATTCTTTGTTGTATGTTGAGTATTTCCTATTAGACTCGTTCAACTTTTCACCGAAGAAAGTGATGGGGTGTCCTCCTTGGCTAAGTGTTGCTCTAATCCCCACGTCAGATGCATCATGTTCTACCTTGAAAAGTTGGTTGAAGTCAAGTAGTGCTAGCATGGATGCCTGAGTTACGTTTTCTTTCAGTGTGTCAAAACTGTCCTGGGCTGTTGCTGTTCACGTAAACTCCTTCCCTTATAGAATTTCAATTAGAGTGGAGGCGATAGTGCTGAAGTTTCTTATAAATCTTCGATAGGAGGCCAACCACAAAAATTACCTCAGCTCGATGAATGATTGTGGTATGACCTAGCTGATAATTTCCTCTATCTTAATGGAATCCATTTAAATGTTTACACTAGACAAGATGTAATCCAGAAAGCACACCTGGCTTGTCATAAAGTGACATTTATTCTGATAGTCATATAGTTACTTGGCTTACAGTACCTTGAATGCTGCCTCCCTGTGATGCAAGTGATATTTTTTTGACCGGCTATATACTAGAATGTCGTCAAAGTAGACAGCAACAAACTCTCCGATGTGAGGTCGAAATACCTAGTTCATTAATCTCATGAAAGTGCTAGGTGCGTTCGACAAACCGAAAGACATAACGGTCAACTCATAAAGTCCATCCTATGTCTTGAAGGCAATATTCCACTCATATCTTGGCCTCATTCGTATCTGGGATATTCACCGAGCAAGTCTATCTTGGAGAAGATAGTGGCTCCATGTAGCTGGTCTAAAAGATCATCCAAGCAATGTATGAAAATTGGTACTTGATGGTAATCCTGCTGATGCACATTCGCCGTGATCCATCCTTTTTGGGCACCATCAACGCAGGGACTACACACAAGTCGGTGCTTTCTCTGACTAACCCTCTTGTCATGAGGTGCTACACATGTTGTTGTAGCTCTTGATAGTCCACCGGTTTTAATATATAGGCCGGTCGGTTTGACAATATGGATCCTAGTATAAGGTCGATGTCGTGTTGAATGTCCTTTAATGGTGGTAATCCCTCCGGTAGGCTGTCAGTCATAACATCCCGAAAGTTTTATAATAACGGCTACAATAGTGTTAGTATCCCTCTTTCCTCCCCACTTCCTTCCAGGAGGACTAATGAGAGTGTTACGAGGGTATCCCTAACTGCTTGCAAGAAAGTGGTCTGGGGAACTAATGCCGCCTCTGTACCATTACCGCCTTTTGCATCCTTAATAGGTAGTAAAATGATGTGTTTCCCATCTATTTTGAAATAATAAGTATTCTAGAACCCGTCGTGTTGAGTCTTGCGATCAACCTGCCAAGGCCTACATAACATAATGTGGAAGGAGTCCATAGGAACCAAGTCGCACCATACTTGTTCATGTAGCTGGTCTGATGGAGAAACCAACTAGACACTACTAATATACACGTAACTCGTTTCCCTTATTCAGTCAGGTAAGGGAATATAATTGGGGATGCTTCTGTGTCTACTCCTAACTTTTTTACTATAAGCATAGACACCACATTCTCACAGTTGCCACTGTCAATGATTAGGCTACAGACCATCCCCTTGACAGTGCACTTGGTGCAAAAAATGTTATGCCTTAACCAAGATTGGTCCCACTTGGGCTTGGACTACATTATTCGTCGGACGACTAACGCTTCTCCTTTTTCTCCATGGAGTTGAAGCACTTTTTCTGGACTCATCTCTGATTCCTCGTCGACTTCCTCGACGATGGCATGAACAACGAGTGTAACGACTCAACTTTTTGGGCAACTAGAGGTTGTTGCCGTAGCTGTGGCACCTGAAACACTTCCTAGCTAGCACTGTATTGGAGGAATCAACTTTCTTTGGCTTCTTCCCACTCTGATCTGCCTTATCAGTTCCTTGTTCAATTCTGTTATTTCCTCCTGAGGCACCCTTGTCAGCTGTAGAAGTTGTGAGCAACTGCTTAGCTGAAGGTGGTGGTCTGAAGGCCGACAGTTGCTTACTTTGCTTTTCCATTTTCAGGGCTAGTGTCTGGACAACCCACAATGTAGCTGTACCACATTGCTAATGACAGGCTTTAGAACTCCGAGATATCTGGCAATCGTGTGCTCCTTTGGCTCTATCAGCTCACACTTTAACTTCAGGTGGTCGAATTGGGCCATGAACTCTTCAATTGATAGATCTCGTTGCTGCAAATTGTGGAGTTCGAGGAAGATGTCCTGAAGATACTGAGGTGGGAATTATTTCTTATGCATTTCCTTCATCTTCTCCCACTTGTTTATTATCTCACTTCCTTCTCTCCTCCTCTGCCTTTGTAGATTTCCACACCATAAAGAGACATTCATCTTTATTTTAAATGTAGCTAGGTTGACTCGTTTGTCATTTGGCACGTCTTTATACTTGAAGATTCGTTCAACTGATTACAGCCAGTCGATAAACTCATCGAGCTTCATTCCTCAAACTCTGGGAGGACCATCCTGATGCTAAAGTCCAGTTGTTCTCCACAATGGGCCTCTTCTCCCGACGTCCTATGATATTGGATACAAAAACAGTGCGACCGATATTCTTCGTCGCCGTGATCTTCCCTGTGGAACGAATTAAGATCCACGTCTCTATCTTCCCCATGGCTCTCTCGATCACAGTCGAATGTAATCTCTTCCAGGTTCCCGTCATCCAACTCTGCTAGTCTCCATTGTAGATAACAAACTTCTCGTTGAATCTCTTCCCAGATTGAGTCCGGTTGTACCTCTTCACGGTGGCATGGCTATGGTTGGAAATTAGAAGAAAAAAAAATTGGTGGAGGTGAATTGGGTAAGGATAGATGCTGGGAAATCTTAGGATAGGACTAGGGTTGGAGTAGCTCTGATACCAAATGATACCGAAACTAGCAGAAAGAAGAATGGAATGCAAAATCGAACTTTTATTAATATAGAAATAGGTATACAACACAACTCAAATAGAAAGGGAAGACAAATAATAAGTAAATCCTTCGATTAGGAAGTTAGGAAGATGTCCAAAGATGGTAGTGGCGTCGACGGAGTGGTAAGGCAAGATGGAAGATGTCGGGGGGATTGTTTGAGTAGTTGTGATAATGTTTGGTTGATTGAAGATAGACAGGGTAGCAAGGTTGTAGGGGAAGTATAAGTGGCGGTAGAGTGGTGGTGTATGGAGGGGTAGACAACTAAAGAAGAGGTTGGAAAAGGGGTTGGTGAGTAGAAGAGAAAGAGATTGGAGGTTTACAACACCACTTAAGAGCAGGATACAATCAAAGCACCACTTGTCGTCAGATACAACCCTAACAAGAGAGAAGAGACTTCACATAGGATATTAGAAGACAATTCCACTATAACTAACTCACCACACACACAAGACAACAATTTATAGGCTCCTCCCGAACGGAGAAAGCTTCTACACAAAGGAGAGTGGGAAGACAAGAATATTCCAGAAAGAAATCTTCCCAGAAAAGATGGTTGAAGCAATACCCCTGGATCGTGATAGTTCACGAGCCACCATTCTTGCGAGGTTTTTGGCCCCTGCGGGAGTTCCCGCGAAGTAACACAAGGGATTTGGCCCCCGCGGGAATGAAGCGCCCCGCGTCGGGGCACAATCAGCGCCTGCGTCATAAAGAATTAATCTTATATTAGAAATTGAGATATTTTATAAAATCAATATGATTGGCTCGACTCAGCTTGACAAATGATTCGAACTTGATATGTCAAACACATAAGAGGGTGTTTGGCTGCATGAAGAATTTAATGTTAAATCCACCCCCTTGTTTGATTTATTGAATTCAGATTTAACATAAATCGAAAGTAAAATTCAAACCTTAAATCCGAAATTTCATAAATCCATGAAACGTTTTTTTTGGTTGGTTGGACAATAAATTTGGGCCATAAATCCTATTAACCGGAAGCTACCAAACACCCCCTAAAAGTTTGATATTTTCATTTATAATATTTATGCATGAAAATGTGTAATTAAATTTTAAGAAGTTAGTAATAGTGCCATTCTTTACGTAATATTAAGGATTTGTGCATTATAGATGTAAATATCAAAGTATAATGGGTCAAAAACACGGTTTTTTTTAAAGGTGTGCCAAATTGCATTAAAATAAAAAAAACAAAAAGTTAAAAAAGGGAGTACAAAATCATGCCCTATGGACATTCACAAAATGAGTCTTCTCCTCCTAAAAAAAAAGAAGAGGACCCTGATCCCTAAAATAGGTCATAACAAAATTCCTATCTATAGCCATCTTGTCGCAAGTATGTGCAACTTTGTTCTTTAAACCTAAGCAACAAGCCAAAATTTGGATTGTTGGGAGTATTGTGTTGCTATTGCCGCTTATCAATAGTACTCCGATAGAAATCCTTGACGTTCGAGTTGTCGCTCTCGATAATGATACCTTTGCCTTCGGTCATCCAATCCTCAATAAGCCCCAAGAGCGAGGCAATCGACAACCTTTCCACTTGTGCACTGTCCTAGTGGAGAAGTCCTTTCTCACAAACCAAAAGAAGCTCTCCCATTTCAACTCAAATAACAATGCTAGTTCTTGCCTACTCGGAAGAGTGTAAAGCTCCGACGATGTTCACCTTAATCAAGTTTGGAGGAGAAGAGGAGGGGGAGGGGGTGGGGTGGGGTTTGGGGGTTGTGGCTTTGCCAAAAAGGCCGTGGTAACAGCCGATTGGGTGGTTAACTCCCCAGTGCACCGAGATTGGATAACGGTGAGGGTGGCCGAAGGTTTTGAGAAGGTTGGAGACGACGGTAGTAGGCGTGCCATGGGTCGTTCCATGCTTCTTGGCATTCTTTGCACGTCAATAGAGGTACATGTCATTAGAAAAGGCACAAACCAGAAGTATGTCCCTCATATGGACGTGTGTGAGTATCTCGAGAGCACCATTAAATTTTCGGTGGGTGGCGGTGAGAACACCACAAGATCCGAGCTTGTCCAACATTGCACTAAAACAAACAGTTAGTAAAAATATGTGATTTATTCTCCACCACTGGACATCCCCAAGGGCAAACAAGGGATTCCAAGAGGCCTCTGCGAGCAAGCCATTTGTTAGTAGGGATGGCATCTAAAGCTCAATTGCCACCAAAAGGTCTTCTCCCGCAGGCGGAGCCTGAGAATGGCGAGCTAGCCATGGGTATCATCAAGCTGATCGAACTTGGCTTGAAAAGCCGATAGATTTCCCGGAGAGTTGCGTGCACAGCTCGGGAATGTCCACTTGCTGCTCATGCATGATTGGAATCGTGAGGATAGTGTTACGAAACTCCTCCCCAAACAGATTTTTCAATTTTTCGATGTCCCATTCTTGCTCGCAGATAAGATCAGCAACCTGCACATTTTCGCATTGGAAGCATCCACAAAAGTGGGCTAATGATGAGCACGCGGTCCAACACCCATGTTTGAGAGAGTACATTGATATACCTCCATTAACCACCTTTCACCGAATAATCAAATTAAGAGTAGCAGCTCCACCACAAATTATCCTCCAGGAGGTGGAATCACTTCTAGGAGAGCTGAAGTTCCAAACATTATTGTCATATTTACTAGACAAGAATTTGTGTAATATGGAGTTAGTTTGGGAGATAAAATTCCAAGCGAGCTTCGCCCGAAGAAGCCCTTTGTACCATTTCCATTTCCCCAAAGAAATTTTCTGCTGTGTTTTTCCAGCTCGAAGGAAACACTTTATGGAAGAGTGGCGTGGGTGAGCAAATACATGGGAAGCACAAGTAGGTCCTTTTAAGAAGAGTGATCCGTCCAGCAAGGGAGAGAAGCCTGATTCCCCGCAAATTTAATTTGCTGGTCGCATTAATTAAGAACTTGCTGTAGTCGGCCATAACAAGTTTTCTTTGGGTTAATTTAAGACCTAAGGATTTCGTCCACTTTATGGAATTGGAGCATTTTAGCAAGTCTGCCTTTCTTCCAACACGGGGGTGCATTTGCTAAACATGACCATGGATTATTCCTGGTTGAGATGCTGTCCAGTCTAGTTGCAGTAATTTTCTGTAATTCTGGTAATTAAATTAGTGGCCTGTGTTAAACCCAATATTCCCTGCCCGCTGCAAGAGGGCCCACAAGAGCAGTTCCGAGCAAAGAATAAAGAGATACGGGAAGAGGGGGCACCCGTGATGAAAACCACACTCCCCATGAATCCAGGCCGAGTGTTGCCTGTTGATCAGAAGAGCGAATTTGGGGCGACAAACACATTTCAAAACCCAATTGATGAATATAGAATGAAAACCCATGATTTTCAAGACTTTAGAATAATAAGTTCAACTCATCTTGGCATACGCCTGCTCCATCTCAATCTTGAGCGCCATAAGTCCCGAGGTAGCGGTGGAGTGCTTGACCTTATTCATAACCTCTTGGGCAATAAGGCAATGTGAAGAGATGGATCTATTGGGAACAAAGGCCGCTTGCTCATCAGAAATAATTAACGGGAGGATGCCTTTGAGCTAGTTAACAATAATTTTGTAAGTGGTTTGACAAAGACTAATCGACCGGAAATGTGCGGGCGAGTTGGTATTCATCTTCTTTTGGATCATCACAATGAGGGTTTCTTTCCACTGGTCCAGCATAGATCCAAAGATTAAAAAGCTTTTCCTTGTTGACAATCTTCCAGTAACACTTGAAAAAGGATGTAGTAACACCATCTGTACTAGGGGATCAATTCAAGCCCATCATGCGAATTGCAGTCCAAATTTCCTCATCCCACACCTCCACAGTGAGTAAATCGTGGCGAGACAAGATCCTGGGCAGAGAACTGTCCAGTTGGGCCAGTTTCCGAGAGAGGGGGATCTTGCATTTCCATTTGAAATTAAAAAATTGCTCAAAGGCCTCCACAATAGCAACATTATCGCTGCTGCTTTCACCATTGGCATCCACAATGCAATTCGATTGGATCTATGCAGAACTGACGCCATGGAGTGGAAGTAGTTCGCGGTTTGGTCCCCATCATTTAACCATCTCACTTTCACATGCTGTTTCCACCAAGCAGCAACCCGAGCTAGCGTGACATTTACCACTTGGATCTTGCTCCTCATGAGGGTCTCGGTCTCAATCTAGGAGATTGCCAGTTAACTAATACATGTTCTTTACTGATTGTTATTTAAAAATAAAAGTTGTTAGGAGTTTGAGACTCAAATTTTGTTGCTTTTTGGATCAATATGTTCACAATGCGACATATGTGGCAACCAATATGTATATATAATTACGATTTCGTCAGTGTTGTTATGTCAGCTACCAATCTTCAGTTGCAACTCTATTTATTTCAATAGAATGAATTCTTCTCCTCTGTCCCATGTTTATTTTCATCTAAGGCTTTTCACATAAATTTAGGTGTCTCTTGATTTATGTTTGTTGTGATCTCTTGGTTTTTATTCATTCAGGAAAAGCAGGTCGGCTTCTCATTTATGTACACAAAATATGAAACTAGACAGCAATAAGCGTTATAATGGCAGTAAAGAAATTCTATAATAAAATGGGTTAATGATTTCTCAAACTTCCAGCATTTAAATTATGCCAAAGAAATAGTACCTTGTACTTTCCAGGTTTTAGACAACCCACTCTATAGCTGAAATAACTATTAGACCAGTGGAAATTGAAGACAAAAACTAAATCTCCGCGCTCGAAAACAACCACCTTCTCTCCTTCGTCTTTCCGTGAGACATATTGGTGCTCTGAAATCATGAACTGCAATGATCCAAATTATTGAGTTTCCATGCATAACAATCAATTATTTTAACAACATAAATGAACTATCCATAACAAAAAAATAATTTTATGAAAATCTAGAAGGCAAACTAAGATTTTGAAACTTTGGTTTTCTTAATCAGTCATTATTTCACACCTGATTAAACATGTGTTTAATACTGAACCAAATGAATGTTTTAAAGGTCAGGAAAACTCCAAAAGAAGAGCTTTGCAAACAATTGGCTATAAACTAGAAAAGCTTCTGCGTAAAAGTAAGCAACAATTTTTTTTTTAATTTTTTTTTTCGAAGTAGAGGGGTCATAAGGATTCAGGAACAGCATTATCCATGTTACATACATGCAAATATATTTTGTGCGGAGAGAGAAATTGGAACAATTCATCATTGCAAAAGTAATAGAAAACTTACGCTATATTTCTCTTCAAGATGCTGCATTGATTGATCAAATTCTTGCATTCCATGGTATCTTAAATAATCAGCATCTCCCTGGATTTAACAATTCATAATACAATACAATGGGTGACTACAGGAAAAAAGAACAATAATAACAAGCCTTATCCCACTAAATGAGGTCAACTATATGAATCCATTTTATCCATTGTGTCCTACTAAGTATCATATTTTTATTAAATTCTAATAAATTAAAATCATGTTTATTGAACATGTCCTTCATAAAAAAAAAAACTAAAGAAAATATTTTAGTGACTTAAATTCTCATGAAAAAGTAGAACTCGTTCAATTTTTGCTTTGAAATCTCTTAAAATAAAATGAACCTTAACTCTTAAACATCGAGACACCTTTTGGTATAATAGTTAAAATTTTACTAGAAACTCCAACTTTATGCGTGCTTGTATTGGAGCACTCCTAGGATGTTACCCTAGCTTGGGGAAATAATTGTAAAAAAAAAAAAAAAAAGCTATACCGTGGGAGTCATCGCTTGAACGTAAATAAGACAAAAAGTTACATGGTGGCAGTAACTTATTAACTTTGTAGGGGTGAAGCAAGCCTCTTCCATGCCTGAACCGGCATGGGACAACCGAAACGATTTAGCTGGATCAGGTTTTAGGACAGTTTTTATTGTGTTTTTGTTTAGGAAAGCCGTTAGCGTCCCCTATTTTCCCTTCTAGGACCATATCCAAGGATGAGTAGCGCTTCAAATGTATATTGTTTCGAACTGGTAATTATCCTAGACGTTCACAGCCTCCACATCCCTCCCCTTTGCTGCCACCTTCCCCTCTCTTCTCAGCAACTGGCTAGCAATCTGCTGTGCATGTCTCCATAGAGTCCTAACTCACCCCACGACCTCCTGTTGGATTGTGTTCACCTAGCCACAACTCCCCAGACTTCTACCTCCTTGTTGGGTTGTTCTCAAGAATCATGTCGATCCAGCACCCCCCTATAGGCTTCCAACTGACCATTTTCAGGCCCTCTTCCTACCTCTAACCTCCTATCTCAACTGTAAACCAGCCGCCAACCACTTGCCAGCTTCTGATGTCAAACCAACCACCAACTTCCTACTCACCCCACCCTCATATACTAATCCCCCCTCAAACCACAGAACCAACACCCTCGCCTTAAGACTTAGTTTGGGGTTGTGTTGTGTTCTTGGTTGTTTTCTATTTTCTCGTGTTTGGTTGTACTTGCTATTTTATTTCACTAATAAAATTTGCATTGCGTTAACTCCGGCATCAATGGGGTCATCACTAGAATCTTATATGCTTATGAATGGTTCTAAATAAAAAGCATTCACAAATATGCTCATTTACTAGAGTGGAGGAGATTGTGAAATCCCTTGAATAGAATGAAATTGAAGTCTTAAAATTCAGGCACCTTTTAGTGCAAAGGTTGAAATTTTATCAAAAACTCCAAACTATGTTCATACAACAACGCAACTGGGATAAGTGACCACTTGAGAAATTACACCATCGGGAAAAAATGATGAGGCCATTAGGCCAAAATAAATAATATCCCAATGAGTGAGAGTTCGGGTTGTTACAATTTCTTCTAGGATTAATTATGCATTTTGCAGTACATAATAACAGGAGGCATGCTGTATAAGCGTCATTTATAACATATGGATTAATTTCAAATTGAAGCACAAACAGAGTAAGGAGCAGGAAGACTAAAACTAAAGAAATTGACTGTACAACTCTAGTACATGCAAGAGAGCCAAACCATGACTTAGGCCAAACTAGTAATGTACATAGCATGGAATGTCATGTAGATGAAAAATTATATAAAGCAAATGAGACGGAAAAGCAATTTTAAATTTGCACGTTTAATAAGGATATAACTTAAAAACGGGATATATTTCAGAAAAAAAAAAAAAAAAAAACATTAAAAACGCAGTATCTTCTACTATGCCAAAAATTTCTTCCTTCCACTTAGTACAGCATCCGCGTGTTTCAGTGCTAACACTATCAGTTATTCAAAATCATATGCATCAGATTTTATACTAGTCGCTCGACTACGCAATGATACTCCTAAAGTAGAACTTAATATGAAACTGAAACTTGTTATGTAGTGTAATACAATATTATCCTATTGAATACTTCATTTTGCAGGTGTATTGAGAGTAATGGTGGGCTCTGAGGTGGGGGTATATACTATTCACACAAGTGATATATCTAGATGAAAAACTTCAAAAAAAAAAAGGTGACATGCATACTCATTAAAATATTATTATTATTATTATTATTATTATTATTATTATTATAATGATTATCATCATCATCATTATTATTATTTGTTATTATAAGTACATTATTGTCCTTTAAGCACACTTCACAAATACTTGTGTATGGTTGTACGCATAGCTCATGTGTATGTACATATAGATCTAGGGCCCGTTGCGGGGGCATTTTTTAAAACGCCTCGGTACGTTTGGTTCGCGCGTTTGGTTCGCTTATCCGAAAACGTGGTTCCATTTTTACACTAAATGCAGACCAAGGGTCAAACGCCGCGGTCGACCCGCGTGACGCGTTTCAGGATAAGCTGCTTATCCTGAAACGCACAAGCTGCCCCAAACGCACCCTTATAGTGCATATAATTGTTCATATGTAAGGCTTGCATGTTTGAGTTATTGTGTGCATGTATTCTAGAGTTATATCTATGCATATATAAATATCTAAGTGTGCATGCGTACAGATAAATGAATCTACCCCAAACGCGTTTGCATGCTTATCTTTATTTTAAATAGATATATGATACAATGCCTAAAAATGTCAAAAGATAATTTATGTATTATTACTTCTTTATTTTATTAATTTACTTTTATTTTAAATTATATTGGATTTCAAATTAATTGATAGTAAGAGAAATATATTGAAAGAAGAAAATTTCAAAGTTACAAATGATGACATTTTTGAAGATGATGAAAGCAAGGATATGACCACTATGGATCTTGAACCTAATTGAATATTTAAAATTTAAGTGAATGTTTACCTAGAATAACATTTCAAATTTCTATTTTATATCAATATTTGATATAAAATTTATGATTTATGTCTTTATTATATAAATTAAATCAAAATATCAATACTTTATAATATTTATGAATTATTTTTAATTTTCTAAGTTTTTTTCTTTCTTGATGCGTATGCCTCGCCTTGCTAAGGAAAAACGCCTTGATTCCCATTTTCGCCTTTTTTTACTTTGCAACACCCTAAAATTAAAGCTTAAAATAGCGTTATTTTTATCTAATACCCAAGCTTGAATTCTTACATATATGCGACCTTACCTACTCAAGAAAAGGTGTAATTCACTTTTTAAAAATTAAGATGGCAGTATTTTTTTATGTGATATGAAAGATTTGGGTGGTATAAATATAATAGGTAAAGTTTGTGTTACATATATAAATAGATGATTTGGGTGTAATGTATGTAAATGCCCCTAAAAACAGCCGACAAAAAAATGCCATAAAAGCATCAAGTAGTTGGTTGTATGATATTGCCATTAACTTATAAAATGTATGTCAGAGGTGCATTAAAAAAAAGAAAGAAAGAAAGAAGGCTATTGAAGCAATAGCTTCAAACACCAAGGAAAAAGCTTCAAATAACACGGAATTCAATTTTCATAAAAATTTATCAGATAAAAAAATTTTGGCTCAAATTAGGAATTCCGACCACCCACCAATAAGAGCTTCCAAAATTTAAACAGATAAAATAATAAAGAGGTATTGAGAGTTTGCAATCCTTTTAAAAAAGGCACATATTCAATATAAAGGTTCGAAACAGCAAAGAAAAAGTTCATATATACTTTTTTTAGTTACCAAATCAAATCTGCGCCGACATTTATCATAGCTATAGTTATTCCCAGGTATCATCTTCCCATTTGGTAGATGTTGGTCACCTCTTGGAAAGTCTATCCATTCTGTCAAACATAACATGAAAGGGAAATAAACCAAGCCATTTCTTTTTAACTTTTGTGAACTTTAACCACATCTTGAAATTTATTTTCAACATTATGCACAAAAAAAACATACCAGGATGACCAAACTCATTCCCCATAAAATTAAGATATCCTTCTCCACCTAATCCCATAGTTATTAGCCTTATCATTTTATGTAAAGCTATTCCCCGATCTATACAAGGCGTAGATGGTCTATCCAGAGCCATAAAGGTGTACATATCCTGAAGAATGTAAGAACAAAGCCAGCTTAACATATAATAATACTTACCTTCGCAATAATAGGTGAAAAAAAGGGAAGTTTGAATACCTAGCACACTATTCTTACATTTCACACCTAAATTTACATATTTACATACAAAGAACTTTCAAGCTTTAAAGCTAAGAATGAAAAGGTGTATTTCCATTTTAAAAAGTGGTACTGATACAATTTTTTAAGTGATATTAAAGATTTGAGTGATATGTGTGCAAATATGAAAGTATAGGAGTGAGAAATGTAAATACATTAGAATTCCGTGCTAAATGAGAAAAAAAAGATACAACATTCTAACCATATGTTACCTTATCCATCAACCAGAATGCAATTGTTTTGTCACCAACAAGAGCTTGATCATGGCTTTCAGCATACGCAATACATTTCTCTAACCATCTCCTATTTGTCAGCGTATAAACAATATCTCCCATCTTCCAGTCCTCATCTCTTAATCTGCATGGAATTTATGCAAATTTTTCAAGAGAACTAAAAACTGGCTACAATTTCTAACCAACATTAAGAACAAAGTCCTTCCCTTTTTATGGAAAAATATATTATTTCTGTAGAAGCTCTAAGGATATCATCCATAGGTTGAATATTTCTAAAGCACTATGCAAAAAAAAAATTGCTAACCAAACTTACTAAAAAGAGGGTACATAGTTCTTGTTTAATCTAATATAATATTTATATAAAAGTATTTTGATCATATTTTTTCATCAACGACGTGGAAATATTTTATAAGCTAGATACAAAACAAATTTATTAAACTTACTAAAATTTCGAACCAACTACAATCCTGGCATAAATAAAAGTTTAAACATTAATGAGATGCATGATGAAAATAAGATTATAGAGGCAACCAATAAATAATTCTACAATGATAGACCATTTGGTCTCAAATCAAATCATACTAAGATCAATGTTGATGCACCATTGATAAAGTTCTTTAGCAACTTGCTCAGCTCTTACCTCATTGACGTGGGAGCATAAGAATTGCACGATGCCACAATAGCTGGAAGTTCATGATAATACATAATTTGGGGATCCCATGATTATGCAACAAGCCAGGGCGAGAAACACAATTTAGAAGAGATTGTTGCTTTTTCTAGCTTATTTCCTTTTTTTCTTCTAATTTCTAGTAGTAGACTATTTATAAGTTTTATTTTTCAGTTTTCGGGACTTTTGGCTTTGTATGTGTGTTTTGGATATTGTATCTTTAATTTTCACCCTAGGAAGTAATATATTCTCACCTTTTGTAAGTGGTGTGTCTGAAGCTTGTTTAAGAACAGGTGATGAATCACCTAACAATCCACAAATATCGTTTCGTCGTCCGCCTCACTCTTTTCAGCTGGACAGCCGCCGAAAGTTGTCTACAATGATAAATCATTTGGTCTCAAATCAAATCATGCTAAGGTCAATGTAGATGCACCATGAGATAAAGTTTTTCAACAATTTGCTCAACTCTTACCTCATTTAAATCATGCTAAGGTCAATGTAGATGCACCATGAGAAGTTTTTCAACAATTTGCTCAGCTCTTACCTCATTGACATGGGAGTGTTAGATTACGTGATGTCGGGATCCCAATGGTTGGAAGTTCGCGATACAACAAAATTTGAGGATCCAACGATTCTGCGATAGGCCAGGGCGGAAACACGACCGCGGGAGGGCTGAACAGAGAAAATCTTGTCCAGTTGGCAAATTTAGTAGTGATTGTTGCATTTTCTAGCTTATTTCCTATTTCCTTTCTTCTAATTCTAGTAAGAGGCTATTTTTATGTTTTAGTTTTCGGTTTTGGGGGCTTTTGGCTTTGTTTGTGTTTTGGACATTATATCTCTGATTTCTAACCTAACGAGTGTTATGTCTATTCCTTTTGAGCGATGCGTCTAAAGCTAAGTTCATGAACAGATGGTAAATCTACTTGCCATCCATGTTGCATCGTTTCTTCATCCCCGTCACTATTCTCAGCTGAGACAACAGTTGAATGTTGTCTACCCCCTCCAAACACCATTGACCGCCCATATTTTCATTCCTTATTGACACGGGAATTTGAGGACTGACCTAAAGTTTGGTCCAGCTTGGTTGGACCGCGGTCCTCAAGAAGGGAGAGCTACGACACCCCTTTTCCTTTCCCCTTCTTTCCTGTTTCCCTCCCTTTCCTTTTCCATTTCCTTCCCTTCTTTCCTTCTTAGCACCTTCCTATTTTAAAGTCTTTTCCAAATTTTGAATTTTAATTACTTTTATTCACCCTTAATATGATTTTCCCTCATTTTGCTTCCTTGCCTAATTATGAAATCCGGATGACATTTGATTCTTCTTTCTCATTTTAAGAATTGCTCAAAATAAGTCCTAGCCTCACTATAAATAAAGGAAGATGTGCTTAGAGTTGGGGGTCTTGTTTTTTAATCTGAATTGATCCTTGTCTTAGTGTTTTCCCTCTTGAGGGTTGTATCCGATGACGAGAGACGTGCTCCGGCTGTAACACCGTCCGAGGTGATAATTATCTACCTCGTTCTGACTCCCCTTGCCCCTCAGCCATTCAGTCACCACCGCTATCCACTCTCCTCGCTGCAGTCCCACAAAATGACAAGTTACAGTTCATGCAGCCACCCGCTAACTCCTCCCGCAACCTCTTCCTCTCAGTCGTCACTCCTTTTCCACTTCTCAGAATTTCCTTGTCAACCCACACGGTTGCAGTCACATGGACTCCTCTTCCGCCTTATAACCATTACTGTCCCGTTTATTCCCCTCCTACAACCATCCTTTTCTTCACATCAAAAACCAGCCGCAACATCCAACTCCCCTAACTGTTGTTACCTAATTGCAACCCCTACTCAACCCTTCCCCTGCATCACTTGCCATTCGCAGCCAACAGAACCCCCTCTAACTGCAACATGATTCCCTCTCATGTTTGCTCACCTCATACCCAGCTCTTATGAAGCACCTCCAACCACCACCATCCTTACCATAGCATGTCCGTTTATGTTTGTTGTCTTTTATTCTTGTTTGTAAGTGTATGGGTTGTAATCATTTTCCACTTCAAAAATATAAATTTACACTTTTATTGAGGTTTGAGTTTTTTCTGGTATCATTTGGTATCATAATTAGTCAAACCCTAATCTTATCCTAGGATTTTCCTAGCATCAACCCCTTCCCAACCCGCCTCCACAAAATTTTTTTCTTTTCAATTCCCAACCATAGCCTAAACTTTGACCTAACCCTCAATTTCTCTTGCTGATAACAACCTTAAATTACATTTTTAGCCCTCACCTCTAAAAAAGAAACCCTAGTCATACCACCATTGATAAACACGATTGAGCATTCCCGGGAGGAGATACAACGAGAGATCTGCCGACTTTAGCAGTGGTTTACGAAAATGGAAGATGAAATCCAATGGGAGGCTAACCTTAACCTTGATCCGAAAGGTCGAAAAGAGGAACGAGAAGATATGAAGATGAAACAGAAAACACAACATTAGTTCCTACCAACTTACTACAACCAAAAGTTGCACTCTAGCTTCCGAAGTGGAGAGACGACATCACCAAACGACCCCCTTGCTACTATCAGGCGAAACCAATCCGCAAGTCTGTCACAGCTAGAAAATATTTGAAGTGTGATGGGCTTGGATATGTTGAAGCAGAATGCACAACCAAGGGAGTGATTTACTTCACCAAGCAGGACATCACCAAAAAGTTGGGTAAAGACACCGCAGACATTGAAGAGCAGTTCAAAACAACCAAGGGAGTGATTTACTTCACCAAGCAGGACGTCACCAAAAAGTTGGGTAAAGACACCGCAGAAATTGAAGAGCAGTTCAAACAAGAATTTTCATTTGATGATGTCTTTCCCCGTGGAACTCCCTTTTTCGTGGATACTTCCAAGCTTTTCCTCCATCAGATCAAAAGGAACATGTAACTTTTGAGGAGATTGTGGTTCCTACAGTCTTTGAAGATGAAAAACTTTTTGTTGAGACATATAAAGATCACGCGGACCAGAAGATGTAAGAATTTAAATTTTAGCAAATGGTCTTAGTAACGACTAACTGATAACATCATCGGCGGCTACATTCATCCACAGTGTTATGTATGAAGAGACAAAGGGCAAGTGTAAAGCTCGTGTTATTGGAACACAACAGAAGATGTCCGTCCTCCAAAAGTTCAAAAGTCAGAGTGAAGACCCGAAAGATAATAAGACACCCATCAAGCAAACTTGCAAACCCTCAACCTCGTTAAGGCCCAACTTGTCATAGATGAGAAACATATGAGATATTTAATTGTTCATAATTTGTCTCGGGAAAACCTACATAGTGGCGTGCCTCCGACTCACATTATGCCAAACCGGAACAGATTGATAGGGAGGTATGCTAGCAAGTGAGAAAAGCTTCTCAGAAGTTTTAGAATCCAGAGCAGTCGCCAATGGGATCCAGGAACGACCGACGAGAACCAGAAGCTTCGACGACTTAACTCAAAGCTCCCCCAAACCTGGGAGACTGATGTGGGTATTTGGGAAAGACCGGCCTAGGGTTCGGTCCAACATGGCTGGATCAGTCGGTCCTCAACTGGGGAGAGCTGCCGACCCCCCTTTTCTTTTTCCCTTCTTCCTTCCCCTCTCCTTTTCCCCTTACTTTTCTTTCCTTCCCTTCTTTCCTTTGTAGAACATCCTTATTTTAAAGTACTTTCCAAATTCTGAATTTTGATTACTTTTGTTCACCCTTACCTAATTTGATTTTCCCACAGTTTATTTTTTTGCCTAAATTTGAAATCATAATTATATTTGACTATTCATTCTTATTTTAAGTATTGTCGAAAAGAAGTCATAACCTCATTATAATTAAGAGATGACGTGCTTAAAGTTGGGGATCTTATTTTTTAATCTAAATTTAGCATTGTCTTAGTGTTTTTCCTCTCAAGGGCTATATTTGACCCGTCCAAGGTGGTGATTATCTCTGCAGTTCCAATTCCCCTTGCGCAACCATTCCATCGCCGCCGCCATGCCCTTTCCTCGTTGCAGTCCTGCAAAACAACAAGTCACTGTTCCTGCAGTCGCTCGCTAGCTCCTCCTACAACCTCTTCCTCCCTGCTGTCACTCTATTTCCTCTTTCTAGAATTTCCATGTTGCAGCACCCCCCCCTCAAATAAGCACACATCTGCGGTCACACGAACTCCTCTTCTGCCTGACAGCCGCAGCTGTCCTGTTTTATTCCCCTCCTACAACATTCCTCTCCTTCACGTCAAAAACCTGCCACAACATCAAGCTCAATATCCTGTTGTTACCTAATCACAACCCCCTACTCGGCCCTTCCCCTGTTGCTACACGTCGTCCTTATACTAGGGTGCCGGTTTATGTTTTTTGTCTTTTATTTCTTGTTTGTAAGTGTTTGGGTTGTAACTAGTTTGCATTTCAATTCTATTCAGGTTCGAGTTTTCTCCAATAAAATTTGGTACCAAAACTAATC